GTTATGCTGAGTGAAATAAGCCAGATGCAGATGGACAGACGGATGATACGTGGTATCATTTACATGATGCATCTGGAGTAGTAGGGAGTGAGATGGTGGCTGCCCGGGGCTAGGAGGAGGGGTAAACAGGGTGGTATTAGTCAAACAAAGGGTACAAAGTCCAGGTTATACAATATGAGTAAGCCCTAGAGAGCTACTGTACAGTTCAGCGCCTATAACTAACAATGCTGTATTCCGTATTCAAAAATTTGCTAAGAGGGTAATTCTATGTTGTTCTATTATCACAAAAATGATAATAAAGGGAACAAAGGGAAACTTTTGGAGGTGATAAATAGGTACAGCTTTTTGTGTATCAAACATAATAAAGTGGTTTAAAAAGAAGGAATAAAACAGTGCATATGTCATGAAATTTAAAAAAAAGTATCACGTTTCAACTACCTTGTAAAATTACAAAAAATACAATAAAAAAGAAATAAAAGTGGAGGCTAAACCACAGGCTCTGTGTGGCGAGCACTGCTTTCTTTTTCAGAGGGGAAGTTTAAATTCAATACTGCTCGGTAGGCAAGAGTGAGAGGGAGAGGGACATGTGTCGTTTCCTCTCTTGTTAAAGTTGTCATTGGGGTCTTTGTCTGGTTGGGCCTGGTTCAAACTAGCTGAGGCTCAGCAGGCAGAAATGGAAGTGACACTGGTAAGAGGAACTGTACCTTCACTTTAGAGAAAGGGTTCAAAAAGAAAAGAAATGCTTCCCAGAATTTCAGCCCATACGGATCAGAGCCACGTCCTTTCCGAATGGTGACTGTGAAGGATGCAGCTGAGGACAGGTCACAGTGACTGTCTATCCAGTGCTCTTAGGGAGTTTAACCATTTTTTAGGTTCATAATATATTCATCACATTACATACCCATGAGAAATTTTCATGATAAAAACATCTCGTCTCACGTTGGCTTCCTGCTAACCCAGAGAACATGGGTTGGTCCAGCCTCATTACCTCCTTGTCCCAATGTAATCTGATGCCAATGTATGTTATTTGGGTGATGAACACCCTAAAGGTCCTGACTTCATCACTATGTAATCTATGCATGGAGCAAAATGACACCTGTGCTCCCATAAATCTATACAAATAAAAAAATAAACTGAGGCACAATACAATTTTAAAGTGGTTTTGAGCCAGCAATGACTCATGAACCGGAAGTGGTTGAGAGGCCCCCACTAAGGCAATGCAAGGGGAGACCTTCTCAGGAGGAGACGGGAGTAGGGCAGAGACAGTGCTGGACCGTTCACAGTGATACAGCTGCCTCATTTGGTCTATCTCATTGGAAAGTCTTTAGTTATGTAAGTTCGTTGGCTGCTTCTGATTGGTTGAGCTTATGTTTTTCTTTAAATATTGGCATTTACAAGATATTGTGCTCAAGTTACTATGTTTGCATAGGGCACTTATGTTTGCAGATCAAGCAAGGGCGAGGTCACTTATGAGTCCTTGCTGGTTTTGTATGATTCTTCCGGCCTGGTCTCCATTTTAACGTACAACACCATGAATAAAGGTTTACTTCTGAGACTCTAAGAGCCATTTTAAATTAAGTCTATGCATGATATTGCCTCAAATACCCAATAGTTCACGACAATGAGAAAGTATTACTGAGCAATTAGTTCTCTATATATTTGGCCCTCACAAAGCCTGGCAAAGTGTAATTATTGTATTGTGCGGTACTAACCAGCCTTTTCATGTAGATGCATTGAGACGAGAGTCTTCTGTTAGTCCCACAATTTCAGTCCTCTATACATGCTGTTGGAAGCTGCATTGATGCAATCCTCATGTCTAGATTCATCCATTCTGGAGATTGTAAAGCCTCAGCATTGTAGGTGCTGATAATGATGATAATGAAAATAATAAACGTTCCCTTATCAATCTTATAATGAATTGACTAGACTGCCTGCAGACTATACACTATCTTTGTTTACAGTTGAAATGCTTGTTTTATCCTTTAAAACAATTTAAAGGATAATTAAAATGGCTGTTTTATTAAGAATTGTTGCGCGGTGGCTCACGCCTGTAACCAGCACTTTGGGAGGCCGAGACGGGTGGATCATGAGGTCAGGAGTTCGAGACCAGCCTGGGTAACATACTGAAACCCCATCTCTACTAAAAGTACAAAAAACTTAGCCAGGCCTGGTGGCGCACGCCTGTAATTCCAGCTGCTTGGGAGGCTCAGGCAGGAGAATTGCTTGAACCCGGGAGGCAGAGGTTGCAGTGAGCTGAGATCGTGCCGTTGCACTCCAGCCTGGGTGACAAGAGCGAAACTCCCTCTAAAAAAAAAAGAACTTTTATTAGGAGTGGGCAGAGTCGACAAGAGTGAAACTCCATCTAAATAACAAAAACAGAACTGCTATTAGCAGCAGGCAGAGAAGAGCAGTGCCTGTGGGTCGGTGTGGGTGGAAGTCGCTGGCCACACCTGGCTCATCTCTCTACTCGCTGTTTGGCAAGTCATTCTTCTAGACATTTTGTAAATATTATTTTTACTAAATTCTCATTAAAATGACTGCTCACATGGAAGGAGGAAACTCATTTAAGTTTTTAGAATGTTAATAAATTTAAGGGACTTCAGTTGCTAGACTTCTGTAGACCTCAGTTGTGCTGGGAATAATATGGCGTCCCTTTATTCTAAGATTGGCTGATCTGTAATGCTATGAAATACCAGTGTTTACTAAATTTGCTATTTTACGTAATTTTTATTTAACATACCCTCTCTCTCTCTCTCTCTCTCTCTCTCTCTCTCTCGACGGAGTCTCACTCTGTTACCCAGGCTGGAGTGCAGTGGCGTGATCCTGACCCAATGCAACCTTGAATTTACCCGGGCTCAGGTGATCCTTCCACCTCAGCCTTCCGAGTAGCTGGGACTACAGGCAGGCACCACTATGCCCAGCTAATTTTTGTGTTTTTTGTAGAGATGGGAGTTTTGCCATGTTGTCCAGGCTGGCATTGAACTCTTGGGCTCAAGCAATCTGCCTGCCTCAGCCTCCCAAAGTGTTGGGATTATAGGGATGATCCACTGCACCCAGCCTTAATTCTTTTAAAAAGGGAAAAATGAGGTTTTTCATTGTGGCTTCAACCACCATCATAGCTAAATAAGTTAATGCATAGTTAAGAAATGTACAGTGGAGAGAAAACAATCTGTGTTGTGTTTAGAAACTGGCAAGAATAGAGGACTAATACTCTCTGAGTATGAACCGGTACTAAGCTCAAACTATTGCATTAGGAGATCATCAACATTTATTATCAAAAGCCGTTCATTAGTCAGCCAATGTCATGGGAAATTTCATCTGTATAAGGAGTCATAAGGCATAAGATACGTATGAAGGATTGTTTAGATGATATGTTTTATTTCCCTAATAATGCATATGACACCACTGCAGCTTTTTTTTTTTTTTTTTTTTTTTTTTTTTTTTTTTTTTTAGAGACAGAGTTTGGCTCTTGTTGCCCAGGCTGGAGTGCAATGGCGCGATCTCGGCTCACCGCAACCTCCGCCTCCTGGGTTCAGGCAATTCTCCTGCCTCAGCCTCCTGAGTAGCTGGGATTACAGGCATGCGCCACCATGCCCAGCTAATTTTTTGTATTTTTAGTAGAGACGGGGTTTCACCATGTTGACCAGGATGGTCTCGATCTGTTGACCTTGTGATCCACCCGCCTCGGCCTCCCAAAGTACTGGGATTACAGGCTTGAGCCACCGCGCCCGGCCTTTTTTTTTTTTTTTTTTTTTAAAACAACAACCATCATTTATATGCTTGCCTCTCAAGCCTGGGTAATCGTGCTTGGTCATGAGACCTCGCTGCATGCTTGCCAGTCTGGTGAAGCCCAGAGTCGGTGTGGGAGAAGACCGTGCAAAGGTTTGAATTCTGAAGAGGAGTCTGTTTCATCGGAGGCCAAAGGAACGGTCCTGCTCCGAGCGTGTCTGGGGAGTCATAATACAAAGAATCAGCCTCGCCCTGACTTCAAGGCGCTCACGGAGAAGAAATCTTTGCTGTCAGCGAAGTTTTCCCGCACATCCCAATGGACAGATGTGAGGGACGGTCACTTACTCAGGACATCTGTTTGCTTAAGGTATTACGTTACAGATGTCACCATGAAAATCAGAGACAGGGAACCATGGGGCCCGGTAAGTACAAGACGGTCTAGCTAAGGCTGGAGTCCGGGAGAGGGCACTTTGCACCGTGGGGCTCATTTCTTGCCATCAATTCTGCAGTCAGTTCAAGCTAATGCCACGTCCCAGCCACCCCAGCTCTTTTATTACTTTGTGTGATAGAAGCGTATGGTGGTTTGTGGCATGTCCTAAGGCAAATCACTCACCTCCCTAGGTTTTGCTTTCCTAATTTCTCCAACAAGGAAGTGAGATTAGGTGGTCTACAGTTTCTTCCAACTGTGATATGTTACTATTTAACAATATGGTTTTAATACAGTATATCTGTAATGACAAAAAGTGAGTTCATTTCTTAACAAGCCCATTCCCTCAACTAACTGGAGTCATTATGCTTAGTTAAAACAAAATGCTTAGTTAATCTGGACTCTTCTGGCATACCAATCTATTCCCTAACACATCTCACCATGGAAAAGCGCCCAGCAGGAGTGGGCTGGCTCTCGGCTTTGCCATGACTGGCTTTCTCTGCCGTGAAACTCAGTTTCTTCTTGGATGAGGATGTTAATTTCTGCTGGGCTTATTTTACAGTGTTGCAAAGAGGTAAAAGCCAGACAAAAGATGTGAAGGTGATTAGGAATTTTTTTTTCTGTCCTTGTGACCATTCACTACTCAATTCTGACAGCTTCGCATGAGTCTAGTAGAAAATTGAGGGATTCCACGCCCACATCAAATGGTGAGGTCCCCACTTTCAACAGCTGTTGCTACATCTGTGCCCATTTCAATGAAATCCAAGGGTCTCAGCTTACAAACAGTTAAAATAAAATGCAAAACAAGACGTCTGTAAGAAGCAGTCCGAAACACCTGCCTGAGGTTGCAGAGGCTGTTTTTGTTTTCTCCCTTCCTCCTTCTTGGAATGAACCAAATATGAAAGCAATTCCTTTTCAAGCTTCACTTTCACTTTCGGGAGTGCAGTCTCCTTGCAACACACTTCCCTGATGACACGTCTGGATTCAGACTAAAGAAAAAAGGAATTGTCCGACGTCTGGATTCAGACTAAAGGAAAAAGGAATTGTCCGCAGTCATCAGAGTGAGTAAAGGTGTAATTTCACATTCTTACTGTGCAGGGTCTCTCTTGCTGAGTAGAGTTAGGAGAACGCGTGTGGTTTTAGCCTTCTTTGGTCTTTCTTTGATCTGGTGCCTGAAATCTAGCCAGAGTTCTTCAGGAAGGGAAGTGGAAGAAAAGAGAGTTGTTATCAGTGTGGCAGAAGGGTATAACTCAGCATACAAGTCACAGCATCAACATCTACTTAATATGATACAATATTTATGCAGTATTTAATTTTTTTCCTCTGCAGCATTTTGTACCTGGAAAAACACATTAGGGAAGCTACGGAAATCATTTTGCAACAGCCTTTTTTTTTTTTTAAATCACATCTTTGCCTTAAAGAAACAAACTCCAGCAGGTGAAAAGAGCGTATTCCAACTTTTCTTAGTTTTACTGGCCGGAAGGGAGACAGGAGCTAGCATTGTATGGCAATGTCCTGGACAGGACAGAACATTCAGGTGTTCCTAGGAGTCAGTAAATGCTTTCTTTCACCTAGAAGGATAGTGGAAGAAATGGAGAAGTGGAGAGATGTTCAATGTTCAGGTGTGGGAGGATCAGAAATCAGCCCAGGCAACTGTGGGGCACTCGGGCTTAAGCAGCGTGAAAGCTTCAGCAAGTTGATTTCCAGGTTACAGATGATCGTGTGCTCGTGTGTGTCTGCATGTGGGGGTGCCTGTGTATTAACCTAATAAGAAGATTGCAAGGTTTACGGACCAAACTATGAATAGTAGTTAACTCCAGGTAGTCTGGCTCCAGACCCCACGTCCTCACCATTAGGCAATATTGTCTCTCACTTGCACAAAACAAAACAAAACAAAGTAAATTTCATGTGCTCTCACAAAATATTTCCAAAATTCCATGGCCCAGTGAGTCTTTTTAAAATTTCTTTTCCATTTTATTTATTTGTTAGATCTCTTTCAACAGCAATGTATTCTTCACTCTCATTTCATCTTTTCACTGCATTTTTGCTTGTTTTACTGAAGCATGTCCTAGAATAACCTTTTCATACAGATCGTATGGCTATAAACTTACTGAATTTTTATGTATCTCAAAATACTTGTATCATTTTCTTTAGTTATTCGGATGGATGTGAAATTGTATTGTATTGTATATTTCATGTATTGATTTCGAGACAAGGTCTCACTCTGTTGCCAGGCTAAAGTATGATTGTGGCTCACTGCAGCCTCAACCTCCCTGGATCAAGCAATTCTCACACCTCAGTATCTCGAGTAACTGCCACGGGTGTGAACCACTTTGCCCAGCTAATTAAAAAAAATTTGGTAGAGATGGGGTTTCCCTGTGTTGCCCAGGCTGATCTCAAACTCTAGGGCTCAAGGGATCCTCCAGCCTCAGCTTCCTAAAGTGATGAAATTACAGGCATGAGCCACTGTGGCTGGCCAAAGGTAATTTTCTTGTTTTTAAGAGATGGGGTCTTGCTCTGTTGCCCAGGCTGGAGTGCAGTGGTGTAATCCTGATTCATTGCAGCCTCAACCTCCTGGGCTCAAATGATCCTCCTGCCTCAGCCTTCCAAATAGCTGGAACTACAGGCTTGTGCCACCACACTTGGCTAATTAAAAAAAATTTTTTTGTAGATATGGGGACTCACTATGTTGCCCAGGCTGCTCTTGAACTCCTGGCCTCAAGTATCCTTCCACCTACACCTTCCAAAGTGCTGGGATTATGGGGATGAGTCATGATGCCTTGCCTGGATATGGAATTTTAAATTCACAATAATTTCCTCTGGATGTTCGGAAAGCTTATCTCCATTGTTTTCTAGTGGTTCACATTACCGATAAAAAGACTTTTTTTAATCAAGATCTCTTTTCTTTAGAAATGAAGGTTTTAGGATTTTTGTGTGCATGGTTGCAATTCTGAAATTTCCTAAGTTTCTCTCCATGTTTGTTTGTCTTTCACGCCTCCCGCCTAGCATTTGGCAAGTTTTGCCCAGTGATGAAATGTCTTCAGATGGGGAAAGTCCTTCCGTGGTTCAGGCATATGCTTTGTAACGGATTAGTCCTTCTCAGCAATTCTGACCTCTAGCTGGAGCCCTACCTGAGGGGTACATCTCACCTAAGCAAGGAGAATGTATCGTAGGGACTTTACCTGTGAGTTGTTAAGTGGAGGTAGTAAGCCCTTATGGTACTGGAAGAGAGGTCTGGGAGGCTCTCAGAGAGGTGGCGGGTGGGGAGCTGGTCCCTGGCACTTGGGAGCATCATTGCCAGCCCTGCATTCTTCATGAGCCTGGGCAAGTCAGCAATGTGCATCCTTGCTGGCCTGGCTGTGGCAATCCTTGTGGCCTGTGGATATAAAGGATGTGCATAGCGGCTGGGCATGCTGGGTGACTCATGCCTGTAATCCCAGCACTTTGGGAGGCCGAGATGGGAGGATCACAAGGTCCGGGCTGGAGACCAGCCTGGCCAATATGGTGAAACCCCGTCTCTACTAAAAACACAAAAAGTAGCCAGGTGTGGTGGCGGGTGCCTGTAGTCCCGTCTACTCAGGAGGTTGAGGCCAGAAAATTACTTAGAACCCGGGAGGTGGAGGTTGCAGTGAGTGGAGATTGCGCCACTGTACTCCAGCCTGGGCGACAGAGTGAGACTCTGTCTCAATAAAAAAAAAATACCAGGCCGGGCTTGGTGGCTCAAGCCTGTAATCCCAGCACTTTGGGAGGCCGAGGCGGGTGGATCACGAGGTCAAGAGATCGAGACCATCCTGGTCGATATGGTGAAACACCATCTCTACTAAAAATACAAAAAATTAGCTGGGTGTGGTGGCGCGTGCCTGTAATCCCAGCTACTCGGGAAGCTGAGGCAGGAGAATTGCCTGAACCCAGGAGGCGGAGGTTGCGGTGAGCCGAGATCGCGCCATTGCACTCCAGCCTGGGTAACAAGAGCGAAACTGCGTCTCAAAAAAAAAAAAAAAAACCTAAAAACTGTGCACAACTTTACAACGATTAGCGCCAGGGTTGTAAAGGCCGTGAGATGGGAATATTCGTTTATGGAAGGCAGGCTTTTTTTCTGTTTCTGAGGACTGAATTAGAGTATTAGTAAAATCACCATTTTCGGATCAGTTCTACATACTCACATTAGTTCTGTTTTCCCAGGATCAATCACCTGAGATGATTTTATTATCTGAAACTTATCTGGAATAATCCGCGTCATGACTTTGAGATCTTACGGAATATCTGTTTAGACGTCATTCCCATCGCTTCATCTCTGTACTTTGTAGGTGTATTTGATTTTTTAAAATATCTAAAATTAGGTTGTTGGTCACGCCAGAGAGTATCACCTTGGGAACACATCCCACCAAAATCAGGTGTGACCGTATGTGGAGACAGGAGTGGTTTCCTGAGCTGATGGAAGCCGGGAACACGGTGGTGTGAGTGCATTCTCACCTTGCGACACAGAATTACCTGAGGCTGGTCATTTATAAAGAAAAGAGGCGGAGTTGGCTGATGCTTCTGCAGGCTGTACAGGCAGCATGGCAGCGTCTGTTTCTGGGGCAGCCTCAGGGAGCTCTTACCCATAACAGAAGGCAAAGCTGGCGCTGGCACCTTCAGACAGCCACGGCAGGAGGAAGAGAGAAGGGGAAGCTACCACAGGCTTTTATTTCTTTATTTTTGTTTTTAAAAATTACTTAATTATTTATTTTGAGGCAGAGTTTCGTTCTTGTCATCCAGGCTGGAGTGCAGTGGCACGATCTCGGCTCACTGCAAACTCTGCCTCCCTAGTTCAAGCGATTCTTCTGCCTCAACCTTCTGAGTAGCTGGGATTACAGGTGCCTGTCACCGTGTCAGTCTAATTTTGTATTTTAGTAGCGACGGGGTTACACCATGTTGGCCAGGCTGGTCTCGAACTCCTGATCTCAGGTGATTCTCCTGCCTTGGCTTTCCAGAGTGCTGGAGTTACAAGCATAAGCCACTGCGCCCAGCTACCACACACTTTTATAAGAATTCACTCACTCACTGTCAGGAGAACAGCACCCAGGAGATGGTGCTAAATCATTCGTGAGAACAGCCCCGCGATCCAGCCCTCCCTCCAGCCCCCAACTCCAACACCGGGAATTGCAATTCAACACGAGATTTGGGTGGAGACACACAGCCAAACCATATCAGCTACGTATTCAACATAGATTTATCTATTGAGAGCCAGCGCTGCTCCAAGTGCTGTTCTAGCCACAGACAGCGCAGTGTGGAGTAAGAACTGTGTCCTCTACTCCTACAGCTTCTCACTCTAGGGAGGAGCAATCATCAATCATTAATAATACACAACATCGGGTCATTTCCATCAACCATAGCACAGGAAAAGCAATCTAGAAGAAGAGCAAGATGGGAGGGTTTGCGCTTTGAACGTCAAGACCTGTTATAAAGCTAAAGTAATCAGAACAGTGTGGTATTGGCCTGAGAACAAACGAATATTTCAGAGGAAGAGAGTAGACAGCCCAGAAATAGATCCTCACTTAAAACATTCACTCAGTTTCTAAGGAAAGCACAGAACGATCCAGTGGGGGAAACAGTCTCTCTAAAAAATGGTCTGACTGACTGGTTATGCACATGCAGAAACCCATGAGTCTACTTCATGCAGACATGCACGATAATTCATGACTCTACTTCACGCAGACCTGCACGATAATTCATGACTCTACTTCACGCAGACCTGCACGATAATTCATGACTCTACTTCACGCAGACCTGCACGATAATTCATGACTCTACTTCACGCAGACCTGCACGATAATTCATGACTCTACTTCACGCAGACATGCACGATAATTCATGACTCTACTTCACGCAGACAGGCACGATAATTCATGACTCTACTTCACGCAGACAGGCACGATAATTCATGACTCTACTTCACGCAGACAGGCACGATAATTCATGACTCTACTTCACGCAGACCTGCACGATAATTCATGACTCTACTTCACGCAGACATGCACGATAATTCATGACTCTACTTCACGCAGACATGCACGACAATTCATGACTCTACTTCACGCAGACATGCACGATAATTCATGACTCTACTTCACGCAGACTTGCACGATAATTCATGACTCTACTTCACACAGACATGCACGACAATTCATGACTCTACTTCACGCAGACCTGCACGATAATTCATTTCGGAGCGATCACAGACCTAAGCATAACCACGAAAACCATAAAGCTTTTCTCGGAGGGGAGTATCTGAGTCATGGGAGTCGAAAAAGTTTCTCAGACAAGAAACAGAAACAGTAAAAATTTAAGAGAAAATAATAAACTAGACTTCATCATAATAAGAAGACATCATTAAGGAAATAAATATGCAACCCACACGCTGGAAGCAAATATTTACAAAGTAGGAATCTGACAAAGGACTGATTCTCAGACATGTAAAAAATTCCTATGACACTGCAATAAAAAGGAAGCAATCTAATAAATGAGTAAAATATTTGAATTATAGGGGAAGATCTATAAACAGACAATAAACACATGAAAAGTGTTCAATATCGTTAGCTGGGAAATGCAAATTAAAACCGTAATTAGCTATCACTACAAACTCACCAGCATGATTAAAAATAAATAAAAATAGGTACCAAATGTTGCCAGGGAAGTTGGGGGTGCAATACTTTCCCAAACGATCTGGCAGTTTCTCATAAAACCAAATGGTCCAGCCATTCCAGTCCTAGTGATTTATCCCAAAGACATAGGACACAGTCACCTGTCACTTAACAATGGGGTCACGTCCTGAGAAACGCATTGTTAGGGGACTTTGTCCTTGTGGGAACGTCACAGGGAGCGCTTACACAAAAGTAGGTAGCACAGCCTGCGGTGCCGAGGCTGCAGACCCACACAGCCCGCATGCGGCTGCACCGAACATACTTGTAACACAACGGGAAGTTACTTGTGCAGCTAAACATAGAAAAGGTAAGTGAAAATGTGGTATAAAAGATTACAAATGGGCCGGGAACAGTGGCTCATGCCGTAATCCCAGCACTTTGGGAGGCAGAGGCAGATGGATCACAAGGTCAGGAGTTTGAGACCAGCCTGCCAACATGGTGAAATCCCATCTCTACTAAAAAAACAAAAATCAGCTGGACCTGGTGGCACATGCTGCTAATCTCAGCTACTCAGGAGACTGACGCAGGAGAATTGGTTGAACCCAGGAGGTGGAGGTTGCGGTGAGCCGAGATCACACCACTGCACTCCAGCCTGGGTGACAGAGCGAGACTCCATCACACACAAAAAATAGATTACAAATGGCACTTGCATAGGGCACTTACCATGCATGGAGCTCGCAGGACTAGATGTTGCTCTGGGTGAGTGGGTGAGTGAGAGGTTAGTGACTGAAGGCCAGGACATTACCATGCACCAAGGAAGACTTCATAAGCACTGCACACTTAGGTTATACTAACCCTATTTAAAAATGTTGCTTTCTTCAATAATTAACTTACTATAACTGCTTTACTTTATACATGTTTTAATTTTTAAAACCTCTTTGACTCTTGTAATAATGCTTGGTTGAAAGCAAACATATTGTATACCTATACAAAAATATTTTCTTTCTTATATTCTTATTTTATAAGGTTTTTTCTATTTTTAATTTTTTTTCTTTTCATTTTTTAAACCTTTTTGTTGAAAATGAAGACACAGACACATGAGCCTAGGTCTGCTCAGAGTCAGCATCATCAGCGTCTCTGGCCTCTGCCATGTCGTGTCCCACGGGAAGGCCTTCAGGGGCCGCAACATGCACGGACCTGTCATGTCTTGTGACAACAGTGCCTTCTTCCGGGATCCTCCTGAAGGGCCTGCCTGAGGCTGTTTTACAGTTAACATAAAAAAAATAGGTAGAAGGAGTACACTCTAAAATAATAATGAAAAGTAAACACATAAATCAGTAACATATTCATTTGTTATCATTGTCCACTGTTACGTACTGTACATAATTGTGTGTGCTGCATTTTATATAACAGTGCAGGAGGTTGGCTCATAGAAGCACCACCACATACATGTGAGGAATGCATTGTACTAGAATAGGACGGCTACATCAGGAGGTGATAAGAATTTTTCAGCTCCATTATCATCTGCAGTGCATATTTATTTATATGGTTGTAAAACTGCGATAGAGGCTGGGCGCATTGGCTCATGCCTGTAATCCCAGCATTTTAGGAGGCCGAGGTTGGAGGGTCACTTGATGTCAAAAGTTTGAGACCAGCCTGGGCAACAGAGCGAGACCCTATCTCTGCATAAAATTTAAAAAATGATAAAGAGTTGGCTGTGTGTGGTGGTACATGCCTGTAGTCCCAGCTACTTGGGAGGCTGAGGTGGGAGGAGCCCTTGAGCCCAGGAGCTGGATGCTGCCGTGAACCGTGATAGCACCACAATGAGACCCTGCCTCTAAAATTAAATAAATAAATACAAACAATTTTTAAAACTGTAAATGATAATTACTGACGTTAGATTCTCTGGATTCACGTAGGCCAATAACCTCATACTTAATCCTAGCTTCAGGATGAAATGCTAACATGTCACATCTTGACAATGTCAAGCAGTGTTAAAATGGACAGTTTTAGGAAACATAAGAAAGGAAGAAGTGTGGAAAAAATGTATTTATTTATTTTACATAAAATAAAAATTAACTGGCCGGGCGCCGTGGCTCATGCCTGTAATCCCAGCACTTTGGGAGGCTGAAGCAGGTGGATCATGAGGTCAAGAGATCAAGACCATCCTGGCCAATATGCTGAAACCCCGTCTCTATGGAAAATAAAAAATTAGCTGGGCATGGTGGTATCCACCTGTAGTCCCAGCTATTCAGGAGGCTGAGGCAGGAGAATCATTTGAACCCAGGAGGTGGAGGTTGCAGTGAGCCGGTATCATGCTGCTGCACTCCAGCCTGGAGACAGAAGACTGCATCTCGGGGGGGAAAAATTAACTAGAGAAAAGCTGTAAAGAGAATGAGGGAAAAATATAATGAAATTCCTTGTATTTATATTGAAATCAGTAAATGAAGAAATAGAAGGGCAAGAGTATTAAGTTCTGGAGGTGACCATGAGAATCACAGGCAGAACCTATCAAAAGAGACATCGCCCTGCAACTGGGATCGAGGTGAAGGATGGGAAGGAAGTGTGGATGTTTTGCTGTTTCACCTTTCGCACTGTCTGAAACTTTTCCATTAGATGTATTACTTGTATAACATGTACTTGTATGGTGTAGGAGTACGAGTAATAATACCATACGTAGTCGATTTTGTTGTTATATTTTACAAGGAATATACCAGGGCGTTTGAAAACCATGTACTATTAATGCTGCTCACACTTCTTAATGTTTCTTTTACACAGCAGAATCATGAGACAGACTTTGCCTTACATCTACTTTTGGGGGGGACTTTTGCCCTTTGGGATGCTGTGTGCGTCCTCTGCCACCAGGTGCACTGTTAGCCACGAGGTTGCTGACTGCAGCCATCTGAAGTTGACTCAGGTACCCGATGACCTCCCTACAAACATAACCGTGTTGAATCTTACCCATAATCAACTCAGAAGATTACCAGCTGCCAATTTTACAAGGTATCGCCAACTAACTATCTTGGATGTAGGATTTAACACCATCTCAAAACTGGAGCCAGAATTGTGCCAAAAACTTCCCATGTTAAAAGTCTGGAACCTGCAGCACAATGAGCTGTCTCTACTTTCTGATAAAACTTTTGTCTTCTGCACGAATTTGACTGAACTCCATCTCATGTCCAACTCGATCCAGAAAATTAAAAATGATCCCTTTAAAAACCAGAAGGTAATATGAAAATGTTTATTGTCACTAATGTTTCTAAGTCATTTATCCATCCTTAGACTTACTCTCTATCAAGAAAGAGGAAAAAATCTGATCTAATCCAAGTTAACACAAATACTGCCATTAAGCGTAATAGAAAACGCTTCCAAAAGAGAAAATATACTCTTAAGTCAGTATAATTTTAAATTTTAAATGTTTGCCTCTCTCGCTTTCTCCCATGAGAAACAGAACTTAGATGCAAAAGGTAGAAGTCGTGAACAGAGAAGAATCAGAATATCCCGTAAGAACATGGAAAATCAACTGTTAATGCCGCCGAAAGGGTGTGGAGTCCAAATTCTCACTTAAATAAAATTAACAAATTGATACAATGATAAAGTGAATTGTTTAAAAATTACCTACTCCTGGTTTGAGAAATCGCCTCGATGGCTATTTCAATGACTTTTTCAATGGTGGTGTCACTTTTCCAATGACTACAGCTTTTCTTCTTGTCAGCACTTTGCTTGAATTTTAGTTTGTTTCTTCCTTTTCGTTTTAGTTGACATGTCATAATTGCATATATTTATGGGATACAGAATAGTCTTTCAGTATGTGTATACAATATGATTCAGTCGGGTAACGATCATCTCTATCATCTCAAATGTTTCTCATTTATGTTGTGAACATTCAGAATGTTCTCTTCTAGCTTTTAAAAAATATACAATAAATTGTAGGTAACCATATTCACCCTACAATGCTTTAGAGCACCAGAAAAAAATGCAGGCTATTGTTTCTAAATCTGAGGCAATTGTTCAGTGCTTTTCTTTAGCCAAAGTGATTTTCAAGTTACTTCATTTTATGGCCTTATAAAAAATTGAGCGTTGTTCTTCCCCAGATGCCAAGAATAACATGCAATAATGTGCAATAATGTTCAATAATGCTGTGAAACAGAAAGTGATTTGCTCCCTAGCTATTTTAAATCTTTTCTTGGGTCTTCTCAGAGTCTAATGCGGATGAAATACCTTTGAATACAAAGGCCTCAAAATATGGCTGGAGAAATCATTGCAAAATGTTATTTTTTAAAGACTTAAATGAGAAAACTGCTTCTCATTGATAGAGATTACATTAGGTGTTGCCTTAACTGGTATCAGCTTTTCCTTACCTTTTGCCTGCATTTGAAGCGAACATATTCAAAAGAAGCAAAGGGTGATAAAACATCCCACAATACTGGCGAAGCAAACAAAAGTTAATATTCTGTACTAGTCATGAGCCAAAATGTATGCAACTATGAATCTTTCTCAATATAAACATCTATTTAAAGTTTCATAGACGGCAAAATTCTACTCATGTTTTTAAAGAAAACCTTCTGTTGCTTATTTTCAAGATTAATGAATGATACTGTATGTTTGCTAAGTCATGTGAAAATTCCTGGCACCATAAGTAAATGGTTATGATAATTAGTTCATAAATTAGCAATGTTCCTTATATCATAAATAAGTTTAAATCCTTTTTATTTTGTTAAGAAAAATAAAATGATTCTTGAAGTAAGAAATAAAATCCTTCCTGCAATGCTTGCAGGGGTAATCATCACAAAGATTATAACACAGCAAAGATTATTAATCAGGACACAGAGTATTTACTATGCTTACTGTTAGTATTCTACAGAAAAATAGAGAGGTGAGATCTTGCTGTTGAAATATTTTAAAGATGTGCTTACATTTAAAAGAACCGTTTTTGACAGCAAGAGTCTAACATATGCCTATTATTTTTCCCATCAGAATTTAATCACATTAGACCTGTCTCATAATGGCTTGTCATCAACGAAATTAGGAACTCAGGTGCAGCTGGAAAATCTCCAAGAGCTTCTATTATCAAACAATAAAATTCAAGCACTAAAAAGCGAAGAACTTGATTTCCTCGCCAATTCATCTTTAAAAAAATTAGAGTTGTCATCAAATCAAATTAAAGAGGTAAGACGTGGGGTAAAAGTATTTCACGTTCTACCTTGAAGGCGGGTGGTCCCTATCTGTGTCACATACGCAGGAATCTGGAGGTCTCCAGAGGGAGGCGTGGTAGGCTTTGCCTGTCTTCCAGCAATCCTTCACACCTACTTCTTGGGGATACCGGTGCCATTCTCGTGAGAGCCTGGGCCGCCCCAGGAGAGGTCAGGAGACAGGACTCTGCTGTCCTGCGGCAGTGGGTGGAACCCGATGCCATGACCTTGGGAACATCCCTAACCTCTCTGAGTCTGTCCCCTCACTTGTAAAGGGGAAATGGTGCTCTCTACCACACAAACTCTCTGAAAGAATTGTTCATAAAAGAGTACGATGGTCAAGAGCCTCAGCTTCGCAGTTGGGTTAGCGGGCTTGGTCTCTGGGTTTTGTCTTTTCACAGTTGTGTAATCAGGCAAGTTATTCAAGTTCTCTGTCTGTAGCCTCGCAGCGTTCAAACGGGCATGATGATGACTGATGCTGTTTCATAGGACTGCGTGGTAAAGAATTCAGGGCAGGGGCAGTGCTCAGGAAAGGATAAGCAGCCCTCTGTTGTCAGCTTAATTAACCGACTGGACTGTCTCTTCTCAGAATCGTGATCTTCAATCTAATCGTTTTCTGTGGCAGGGGAGCAACAACTATCTGGGCCGGTGGCACAGGGGTAAATGAATTTACCAAGACAGTTGTAGGTGGAGAAAGGCACATTTGTTAGAGAAAGAAGGAAAAGACAGTGCAAGAAGACGATGGGCGTATCAGCAAGAGAAGCTGACTGCAAAGAAACAAGGCTTGCTGGGGACTTTACAGGGTCGTGTTTATGCTGAGTGCTGAAGGGGACTTTGTGCAGTCCTGACGGCGCCAAGGTGGCAGTGGGCGAACCTGCCAGGGGCTGGCGACAGCTGAGAACAGGAAGATTGTGAGTTATTTTCACAAAAGGGCTATGTGTCCTGGATCATGAAGAAAGGCAGACTTATAACTTATCTGCTCTTTTGCTTTCCCTGGGTCCTGCCAGACTGACTCCTTTCCCTAAATAGGATGCCACATGTTCACATACAGGTTTGTCTGTATTTTACACACATTCCGTTCCAGGCTATAAGACTACTGGAAATCTTTAATTACAGCTCTATTCTTTCTCAGACATAAAAATAAATGGCATTCAAATTTATCCTGAGATATTAAAATGTTTGCGTGCAAGGTATTCATTTTACCTTTTAAACAGCATTTTTCTTTACTTTCTCTTTGTTTTTTTTTTTTTTGAGATGGAGTTTCACTCTTGTCTTCCAGGCTGGAATGCAGATGTGTGATCTCAGCTCACTATAACCTCCGCCTCCTGGGTTCAAGTGATTCTCCTGCCTCAGCCTCCCAAGTAGCTGGGATTCAGGTGCCCACCACCATGCCCAGCTAATGTTTTGCATTTTTAGCAGAGACAGCTAATGTTTTGCATTTTTGCTAATGTTTTGCATTTTTGCATTGCTGGGCAGGCTGGTCTTGAACTCCTGATCTCAGGGGATCTGACCACCTTGGCCTCCCAAAGTGCTGGTACTACAGGCACGAGCCACCATGCCTGGCCCAAACAGCATTTTTCTATGATTAAGATACTTATCGTAGTAATCTTACTAAATATATAAATAAGTGAGAGACAATAATAATTAGAGGCGATTTTAAAAAATCACTCAAATCTCCACAGTCAGAAACAACCACTGTTAGCATTTGGGTATGTTTATCCCTGGCTTTCCCCCAAATAATTGTAAGGAAAAACAACAGCTTAAATTCTTACTGTACTTTAATTTATACTTAAAAAAACTCTTGAGCTACTCAACTGTGTGAAATGCTGTGATAAATGTTTGAAAATATTTTATGGATATAGTATTTTTAATCAGCTTATTCTTAATTGTCGTTTTCACAAAAGTAAATTGAGATGAAGAAAGTTTGTGTGACATATCTCAGGCCCCACAGGAGCCACCTGGGACAGAGCTGCGTTTCTGGCTGATTGGACCAGAGGCCCTGCTCCTAACAGCTATGCCCTGTCACCCTCTGAAGATCATGATGTCGCCTGCTCTTCAGATTTAATATCATATCATGAACATTTCCCATACAATTAATCATTCCAAAGCTTAGTTTTAATGGCTGTGAAATAATGTTATCACGTAGACTTATCATACTTAATTTCGTCATTTTCTGCTTTGCATTTTAACTCAATTATTTATGATAAAACACCCTTTTTTTTCCATTAGCCTTACCATCCCCCAAGTAACACATTAGAAATCAGAACCTCACTCCTAACCCCAGATGCAGCAGCTCATGCCTGTAACCCCAGCCCTTTGGGAGGCCGAGGTGGGGGTGGATCACAAGGTCAGAAGTTCGAGATCAGCCTGGCCAACATTGTGAGACCCTGTCTCTACTAAAAATACAAAAAAAAAAAAAAAAAATTAGCTGAACGTGGTGGTGCATGGCTCTAATCCCAGTTACTAAGGAGGTTGAGGCAGGACAATTGCTTGAACCCGGGAGGTGGGGGTTGCAGGGAGCTGAGATTGCATCTCTGCACTCCAGCTTTGGGGACAGAGAGAAACTTAATCTCAAAAAAAAAAAAAGAAAAGAGAAAAAGAAAATCAGAGCCCTTTACTCCCCTGGTGGTTTTGAGTGCCTGGGACTGGCCCGGATCCTCCCTGGATTCCTCCTCTTCCACCTGCTGTTCTCTTGTCCCCTCTGTGAGTACCAGAACATCCAAGGCTCTGGTAAGAGGGTGGGATGGAGCAGAAGGGAGCTGGGAAAACATGACAGTAAAATAAAGTCAGGAGAAAATCTGGGTGGAAAGATGAGAGGGAGAGCTGGAGCTCAGCATTCCAGAAGGGAAAGTGCTGTCACTGCTTCATCATGAAAGCCATCCACTCCCTCCTTCCGTGAGGTTCACTGAGGACAGCAGGCCACCGAGACAGAGCCAGGAGCTGACTCTGACAGAGCCAGGGGTGACTTCACGGCAGTTTATTCATTGCACTTGTTCTCATGGTGATAACGAAAAAGTGCCAGGAAATTGATCCTGGACTGAGAAGTCAGAGAAGGCTCCCTGAAAATCACATCTAAGCTGACGCTGTGAGTGCTGAGCTCAGCCAGTGGCCCGGGGAGATCAGAGGCTGGAGTAAGAGCTGGGTGCCGCAGGCACCGGGTAAGGGAGGACCCCTGCATTAGAGGAAGGGGGAGAAATGGCCTGCCCACAGGCTGCGGTGAAGGGGGAGTGGGGATGGATGGAGTAAAGGGCCCGTCTAAGCTTTTCAGAAGCCTTACTGAGCCTGTGCTCTTTTGATGGTTAACCCCTTTTTTCCCTATCTTTAGTTTTCTCCAGGGTGTTTTCATGCAATTGGAAGATTATTCGGCCTCTTTCTCAACAACGTCCAGCTGGGTCCCAGCCTCACAGAGAAGCTGTGTCTGGAATTAGCAAACACGAGCGTTCGGAGTCTGTCTCTGAGTAACAGCCAGCTGTCCGCCACCAGCAACACAACTTTCTTGGGACTAAAGTGGACAAATCTCACCATGCTCGATCTGTCCCACAACAACTTAAATGTACTTGGTAACGATTCCTTTGCGTGGCTTCCACATCTAGAGCAATTCTCCCTGGAGTATAATAACATACAGCATCTGTTCTCTCACTCTTTGCACGGGCTTTTCAATGTGCGGTCCCTGAATTTGAAACGGTCTTTTACTAAACAAAGTACTTCCCTTGATTCGCTCCCCAAGATTGACGATTTTTCTTTTCAGTGGCTAAAATGTTTGGAACATCTTAGCATGGACGATAATGATATTCCAGGCATAAAAAGCAATATGTTCACAGGATTGATAAACCTGAAATACTTAAGTCTATCCAACTCCTTTACAAGTTTGCGAACTTTGACAAACGAAAGCTTTGTATCACTTGCTCATTCTCCCTTGCACCTCCTCAACCTAACCAAGAATAAAATCTCAAAAATAGAGAGTGGTGCTTTCTCTTGGTTGGGCCACCTACAGGTACTTGACCTGGGCCTTAATGAAATTGGGCAAGAACTCACAGGCCAGGAGTGGAGAGGTCTGGAAAATATTTTTGAAATCTATCTTTCCTACAATAAGTACCTGCAACTGACCAGGAACTCCTTTGCCCTGGTCCTAAGCCTTCAACGACTGATGCTCCGAAGGGTAGCGCTTAAAAACGTGGAGGGTTCTCCTTCGCCATTCCAGCCTCTTCGGAACTTGACCATTCTGGATCTGAGCAACAATAACATAGCCAGCGTCAACGAGGACACGTTGGACGGTCTTGAGAAACTAGAAATTCTGGATTTGCAGCACAACAACTTAGCACGGCTCTGGAAACACGCGAACCCTGGTGGCCCTGTTTATTTTCTAAAGGGTCTGTCCCATCTCCACATCCTTAACTTGGAGTCTAACGGCTTTGACGAGATCCCAGTTGAGGTCTTCAAGGATTTATCTGAACTGAAGGTCATCGATTTAGGATTGAATAATTTGAACACACTTCCAGCTTCTGTCTTTGATAATCAGGCGTCTCTAAAGTCACTGAACCTTCAGAAGAATCTCATAACCTCGGTGGAGAAGAAGGTTTTCGGGCCGGCTTTCAGGAACCTGAGTGATTTGGACATGCGCTTTAATCCGTTTGACTGCACGTGTGAGAGCATCGCCTGGTTTGTTAATTGGATCAATGAGACCCAGACCGACATCCCTGAGCTGTCGAGCCGCTACCTCTGCAATACGCCGCCTCACTATCACGGGTTCCCAGTGAGACTTTTTGACACATCACCCTGCAAAGACAGTGCCCCTTTTGAACTCTTTTTCATGATCAGTACCAGTATCCTGTTGACCTTTATCTTTATAGTTCTTCTCATCCACTTTGAGGGCTGGAGAATATCTTTTTACTGGCATGTTTCAGTACATCGAGTTCTTGGTTTCAAAGAAATAGACAGACAGACGGAACAGTTTGAATATGCGGCATATATAATTCATGCCCAGAAAGACACGGATTGGGTCTGGGAACAGTTCTCCCCGATGGAAGAAGAAGACCAATCTCTCAAATTTTGTCTGGAAGAAAGGGACTTTGAGGCAGGAGTTTTCCAACTGGAAGCAATTCTTAACAGCATCAAAAGAAGCCGAAAAATTATTTTTGTTATAACACACCATCTATTAAAAGACCCATTATGCAAAAGGTAGGTGAAAATTGTGAAATTTTAAGTGTGTACTTGCTTATCAATTAAACGTTTTTTTTGCGATGGAGTCTCGCTCTGTTGCCAAGGCTGGAGTGCAGTGGTGTGATCTCAGCTCACTGCAGCCTCTACCTCCCAGGTTCAAGTGATTCTCCTGCCTCAGCCTCCGGAGAAGCTGGGATTACAGGTGCACGCCGCCACACCCCACCAATTGATGTATTTTTACTAGAATCGGGTTTCACCATATTGGCAAGGCTTGTCTTGAACTCCTGGCCTCAGGTGATCCACCCACCTCGGCCTCCCAGAGTGCTGGGATTACAGGCGTGAGCCACCGTGCCTGGCCTCAATTAAAGTTTTAAATCAGAATATGACTCACAACTCAAAGAATTGTAAAAATAAAATTAAGAAAAAAACTCCCTGAGTGTCAGTCACAGCTTAAACTCTAGAGTATTTTAAATAGCGGTGCTTCTGGCTGTTAAAAACCGGATACTGATTCTTCAACACATTTCACTGCTTAGGTTCAAGGTCCACCATGCAGTTCAACAAGCTATTGAACAAAATCTGGATTCCATTATACTGCTTTTCCTTGAGGAGATCCCAGACTATAAACTGAACCATGCACTCTGTTTACGAAGAGGAATGTTTAAGTCTCACTGCATCTTGAACTGGCCGGTTCAGGAAGAGCGGGTCAGGGCCTTTCGTCACAAACTGCAGGTAGCGCTTGGATCCAAAAACTCAGCACATTAAATTTATTTAAATAGTCAATTAGCAAAGGAGAGACTTACTCAATGTACAAAGTTCCATGGTAAATTTAAGTTTTACATTAAGGTGTTATAATTTGTTTATTCGTATTTGTAAGTGATTATATTCTATCACAATTATATCTCTTCTAGGAAAATTTTTCTCCTTATTTCAGGCCTGTTTTTGATAGTTGACTTAATTTTACCCGAAACGAACATATAGAGACATAGGAACATTGTTTACTAATAAATATACAATTGGCCACTGAGCCTATGGCAACTTAAAGGAGTCGAAAACATTTAAAACATTTTAAATGTTTTAAAGCATTCCTATTTTAAAAAAGTTGGAATTATAGGAGGGTTTGTGATGATCTTTTCGTTTCTTTTTTTTGGATGTGCTTAGAATGAAAGGTAATTGTTACAAAGGGCATAATGCTGTTTCCTTTGTAAAAGCGTAAAATATAAAGCCATATTTTTAACATGTTTAATTACAGTATTTTTTCAATGGAAAAACTTTGTATTTTAGTACGTACTTGTCTCAGTGTTGATTTTGTTAACTGTTAATTTTTTTAACATGCATACCCAAGGGCAAAAACCATTTGCAATTCATTTTTATTAGTTAATGAGATGGTTATTTGAATGAATATTTACTTGCATTTTCCTGAGAGATGAGTTTCTGCTATGGGAGGGTAGAAACAATTAATTCTCTTACTAAGAGTATTGTAGACAGGCTTGCTTTCTGAAGGCTAAGCGGTAATTGGCTTTGCGGAAACAGAACTTGCCTCCCATGGTCACAGACGCAGGAGATGGCGTTGGCAAAATCACTTGGTCCCACTGAGATTCTTTGACTCTTGATTTTGAAAATTCTGATAATAAATAACATCTTAGATATTCCCATATAATTAGTGATGATGATCATTGTATAATATATTTCCAGGAATGTATTATTTTACCATAAAATAGATGCTATGTATCAGGTAGTCCTTATCTAGAAAGACTGTTTTTATTTTTGCTTTTTTGCATTTGATTGTTTTTTAGGGACAGAGTCTCCCTCTGTCGCCCAGGCTGGAGTGCAGTGGTGAGATCTCGGCTCACTGCAACCTGTGCCTCTTGGCTTCAAGCCATTCTCCTGCCTCAGCCTCCCAAGTAGCTGGAATTACAGGTGTGTGCCACCATGCCCAGCTAATTTTTGTATTTTTAGTAGAGAGGGGGTTTTGGCCAGGCTGGTCTTGAACTCCTGACCTCTGATGACCCACCTGCCTTGGCCTCCTAAAGTGCTAGGACTACAGGTGTGAGCCACCGCACCCGGCCTTTTTATTTTTGTTTTGCAATACAATAAAAAAGGTTTTTAGTTTTAAAAGAGAGTCTGACTATTGGAAATAGACATGAGTGGCTTTTGGAAATATTTATACTTCCAATATTTAAAGAGAAAGCTGAAGTTATAAGGCTGAGTTAATTTCTATACCTGAAATGTTCATTTGTCCGCTGAATTCAGGGAGCATTTGAGATGTGGCTTTTGGAACTTTGATGTAAACAGTCGAGTATCCCCAAGGCTGAATTCCAGCACCTTGGAATGAGAAATATCCAGGTACTGCTGGTTCGGAAGAGTCTATAGTCTGCCCACACTGAACGTATGGAGGACTAATTGTCACTTGTCACTTTCATATTATTTGCCACTCTTAAAGCTGAGACACTGTTTTCTCAGCATTTTAGTTAAGATTTGCTTTTTAACTGTACAATAACCCTGTTTTATTTTGGTATAAAATCAAAACCACAACTTCTTCTTTTCTTATATGATTTGTGTGTTATCAATAGTCTCAACTATTCCTAAGATATTTTAAATAAATCATTGCTGCGCATTAGTCAATATATTATTAAGTTGCTTCATATGTAATGTATCAGTGCTATTTAATATGTAATATCTCTATTTCATATATCAATGTGTTACTGGCGGAGGGTGTCCAGGTTCTTGGTGCTTTGGGCAATGAATTGGGCAAAATGAACAAAGAATGAAGCAACAAAAGGAGAGATTTATTGGAATCGAAAGCACACCCCACGGGGCGGAAGCGGCCGGAGCCAGCAGCTCGAAAGCCGGGTTACAGGATGCTCTTGAGTTTAAACACTCTGTAGAGGTTTCCAGTGGTAACTTGGTGTATGCCCTGCGTAAACGAAGAGGCTGAAGGGAAGTTACAAAGGTGTTTACGTGGTGTGCACCCTTTGCAAGTACAGGGGATGCTTCCCGGGAGAGTTACAAGGTTATTTACTTTTTGATTTCGTTGTAGGAAGCGTTTAAGTTCCCTGCCCCCGAGACCCTATTCTCCTGCCTCAAATATATCAATGACATATTCAATATTTCATTAAGTTGCTTAATATTTAAGAGGTTAAGATGCACAGGTAATGACCTCTAATGAATACAAGTAAAACTAGTAAAAGGTGTGAACTCTGACTCCTGTCCGACCTAGGCGGGAAGTAACATCCTGAACTTCTGCCCGCTGTCCTGTGTAATTGTTCTCAGCGGAACCCCTGTCCCCGGGGCTGGAGAGAAGGGGATTGAGGAAAGGATGTTTGTCACACCTCTTGTGTAATTCGCACGGGTGACTTGACTCGTCTGAGTCCTTGCAGGGCGCCATCCTGTCATCTGTTCACTCCAGCTTCTTCCTGTTTTCACACTGCAGACAAAACCCAACTGAATCAACACTGAGTTTCAAATCCACCTTGGTATTTAGGTTGTTCCTAAAAATGAAAACTTTTAGACTGTAATAAGAAGTAGATGCTATCAATTTGTTAGTGAGGAGGGGAGGAGTTTCCAGTGCCACTCAGTTAACAGTGTCTAGTTATTCAAATATACAGCCTAGGTTGTAAAAGTGACTCAAGGGTGAGTTATGGTGACCACTGAAAAATGTTGAGGTGCTTCAGATCAAGAACTTGGAAGGAATTTCTTGCAATCAGTTGAGACACAAAGCAGGTGAGCGGTTGTCGGGACCTGGGAACAGGAAGGAGGAAGGCTGCAATCAGGTGGAAGAGATCTTTTCTGGGTGATGCAATGCTCTAGAATTGGATTATGGTAATAATTTGTATAACTATGTACATTCACTAAAAGTTACTGAGTTGGATACTTACAACAGGTACGTTTTATGATATGCAAATTATAGATTCGCAAAGCCATTAAAAATAGTGTTCTTTGAGGAGCTACACCTAGCCCTGTGCTAACTACTGTGGTGAACAGGGGGTGGGATAGAGGGGTGGGTGGTAGGAACTGGGTGGGAAGGGATTTTCAAAGATGGTCCTGGGCAGGGAGGACTCCACAGAGGAGATACGGCCCGTGCCAAGGGGGGTGAGATCTCAGTGCACGGAGAAGATGGCAGAAGGTACAGCAAGAGGGAAGATCATGAGGGCAACGTGAACTTGGTGTTTGGAGATAGTGGGGTGCCAAAGAGGATGGAACCAGGCTGCAGAGAGCGTGGCAGAGGTGTTTACAGGCAGCGTTTCGAAGCTGTGACTTTATCGACCTCATGATGAAATTCCCTCCTGGGATCTCTGCCTTAGATTTAGGTATCAGCCAGTTAAACAGAGGGGTACAGAGTATAACGTCACAGCCCAAAGCCAGGCTGGCTCTCACATAACAGAAAAGGGCTGGAAGCACCTTGTTTTCCTATAAACAAATACGTCTGTGTTAAAATAACAAAGGACAACCACTCATTAGTTATTAGTTACACTGGATGACATATTAGCCACTCTTGGCTCTAGCAGCTCTCTAATCCTGCTCCATGGTCCTGCTTAAGGGAGAAAAGAGCTGTGGCATGTGACTGTTTTCAGAAACCATGCTTTGTGTGCGTTGGGCAGGAGTCACCAGACTTTTCGGTGGTGGAACTCGTCCAGTTTTGTTTGAGGATTTCTGGGCAGACAGGGTTGGCTTATTTAGCTTCCTTTTCTCTTAGGTCAGTTCCCCAGGAAACAAGATTCTGGCATGGAGATTTGCATGAAGGAAGTTTCAGGGGTGCTCTGATTTATGAGTGGGTGAAGTAAGCTGGATTGGGATGAGAGAGAGTGATCCCAATCATGCAATTCACAACTGCAACTGAGCTCTTAGCTAACCCTGAGGGGAGCGCGGGAGATGGAATGACCCTACAGAATTGGCAAAAATCTGGGCAAAGGGGCTGGACCTCTCTCCATGCCCTCACATCAACCAGTCACAGACACAGGCAGCCCCAGGGAGGAAGTGAGACCTTCAGTAAAATGTTTTGCTGAAAGAAATTCAAAGGGAAGGCTCCGGTTGTGAACCATCAGAAGCTAACACACTGTGCAGCTGGGGGAGCAAGTGCCTGGGTCCCAAGAGCAGAGCTCCCTGTAAAATGGGCAGCACTGTTTACAATAGCAAAGACCTGGAACCAACCCAAATGCCCATTGATAATAGACTGGATTGGAAAAATGTGGCACATATACACCATGGAATATTATGCAGCAATCAGAAATGATGAGTTTGTGTCGTTTGTAGGGACATGGATGAATCTGGAGAATATCATCCTCAGCAAACTGACACAAGAACAGAAAATGAAACACCGCATATTCTCACTCATAGGCGGGTGATGAAAAATGAGAACACATGGACACAGAAAGGGGAGTACTAAACACTGGGGTCTATTGGGGGGAAAAGGGGAGGGCCAGGGGGAGGGGGAGGTGGGGAGGGATAGCCTGGGGAGAAATGCCAAATGTGGGTGAAGGGGAGAAGAAAAGCAAAGCACACTGCCACGTGTGTACCTACGCAACTGTCTTGCATGCTCTGCTCATGTACCCCAAAACCTAAAATCCAATAAAAATTAAAAAAAAAAAAATGGTCCTTTAAAACCGGTAACAGTGAGAAAGTGATGGCATTGAAAGGGACCTGACCCAACCAACTCCAGCTTGCTTCTAGCCTTGTTGACTTCTGGGTGTAGGCAAACTAACTCCGGGAGGAACTGAGTTTATAATTTAACTCAAAACAAAGGCGGCAACTTCCCTTTCCCAAAACGAGCCTCCTTCTTGCCAGGGAACCTGACTGCCTTTGTAGGACTAACAAATCAGCCATGAGATTTGTAACTCAATGACTCCTGCAGACAACATCACTGTTTCAGAATGTAAGACTGGTCTTTTGAGATGTCTTCTCAAGTTTTTGCATTTCTAACAAATGATGGCTCTATCCAGACCTGCCGACAAGCCTGTGGCTCCACGTAGGAATCATCTCAGTGTAAAAGGGCAGGTTCGGCTCCCTATGATTTCATCTCCGGCCCAAACGATCAGCACTTCTCATTCCCTGGCCCCTACCCACCAAACTATCTTTAAAAAACCCCGTATCAATGCTGAACATGGTGGCTCATGCCTGTAATACCGGCGCTTTGGGAGGCTGAGGCAGGTGGATCACTTGAGGTCAGGAGTTCAAAACCAGCCTGGCCAACATGGTGAAACCCCATCTCTACTAAAAACCAAAAAATTAATTGGGTATGGTGGTGGGCACCTGTAATCCCAGCTACTCAGGAGGCTGAGGCAGGAAAATTGCTTGAACCTGGGAGGTGGAGGTTGCAGTGAGCTGAGATTCTGCCACTGCACTCCAGCCTGGGCAACAGAGCAGGGCTCTGTCTCAAAAAACTAGGCAGGGTGCAGTGGCTCACACCTGTAATCCCAGCACTTGGAGAGGCCGAGGCAGGTGGATCACAAGGTCAGGAGATTGAGACCATCCTGGCCAACATGGTGAGACCCCATCTCTACTAAAAATAAAAAACTACCCGGGCATGGTGGTGGGTGCCTGTAGTCCCAGCTACTTGGAGGCACACTACAAGGAGTTCTCAGCTGGGGCCCCTTTTCCAGTCTACTGTTTTGCTGATAGTCACCCTTCTTCAGAGCAAGGGGGTTTAAAGAGCTATTCTTCTTCACTTTGCTTTGGTATCAAGCAATTTCCACTGGGATGAACACTGGGTCCAGTGAGATCACCCTTCCTCAGAGAAACCCCGCCACCTACCCAGTGGTGAGAAACAGAGGGCCCTTCCAGACTCCCCCGACCACAGTTCACCCCATTCCTGGCAGGGTAGCAATTCTGCAGCCCCTCTGACATCATCCATCCCTGCTGGCTCATGTGTCACGGTCTGGCCTTAAGTATGGGGTGCTAATCCCAGCTTGGAAGAGAGTGGAGGAAACGGGACTGGCCCTGGCCATGCCCTCCCTCCTTAGGGAGCCCCTGGTATTTCTGAACGGAATAATCATAGAGGGGATAGAGGGGAGGAGGAGGTATTTAAGGGATGGCTCAGGTCTGTGGCTGGAAAATTGACCTTCTTGTTAAGCTTGGCAGAGTGGATTTTGAGTGTTGTACTTTCAGATAAATTCCGGGAGGTGACATAAGTCACACTCCAAACTGTAAGGAGAGTCTCACCAGTTCCATGCTCTACCCTTCATGTTCCTCCTCCCTCTTATTTCTCTTTTTATCTACCTTCCACCTCCCTTCCCTCTTCTTCTGCTCTCCCTGAATTATGCCCCAGTCTAGAGGCGTGCTCAGCAGGAAAACACACACTCTGAGGGGATGGATGTGTCTAAAGACTGTGTGCATAGCTGTTATTCTTGTGTTTATGAGCCTCTTACCAAAGCACTCTAGGACACGCTGTTGACATGTCATCTTAGAAATACAAAGGCAGGCTTTGAGAAGGTCTCTCACTGTCTCTTTAATGATAGCATTTGGAAATGGTGAAGAAGCGCCTGGTGCATGCATTACATCAACAGAGCATAGAGGCACGGCAGGTCGGTAGCTGCCTTTAGTCTGTAACAATAGACAGTCAGGCTCTTCACTGTAGCTCCGGCTGCAGCAGACCCCACAGTTACCCACCCAGTAGACACCCACACCTCTCACTCTCCCTTGCTCTAGGGTTGCTGATTTTGTTCAGGGGAGCAACGAAACCAGGGTAAGGGGATCCCTTCTGTAGCCGCAGGGGTGCACTGATAATAAACAAAGATATTATTTCTCTTTCTCTTTGCCTTTTCTAATTTTTCTTTTTCTTTTCTTTTTTTTTTTGAGACGGAGTTTCGCTCTTGTTACCCAGGCTGGAGTGCAATGACGCAATCTCGGCTCACCGCAACCTCCGCCTCCTGGATTCAGGCAATTCTCCTGCCTCAGCCTCCTGAGTAGCTGGGATTACAGGTGCACGCCACCATGCCCAGCTAATTTTTTGTATTTTTAGTAGAGACAGGGTTTCACCATGTTGACCAGGATGTTCTCAATCTCTTGACCTCGTGATCTACCCGCCTCGGCCTCCCAAAGTGCTGGGATTACGGGCGTGAGCCGCCGCACCCGGCCTTAATTTTTATTTGGTCTCACTTTGTTGCCCAAGCTGGAAGAGTGCAGTGACACAGTCTCCGCTCACTGCAGCCTTGACTTCTAGGGCTCAGGTGACCCGCCCAGTTCCGGAGTAGCAGGCAATACAGGCATGAGCCACCATAACCAAGCTAGCTTTTTAAATATGTGGGCTGGTCTCAAACTCCTGGGCTCAACCAATCTGCCAGCCTCGGCCTCCCAAAGTGCTGAGATTACAGGCGCCAGCCACCATGGCCAGCTATTTCTCTTTCTGATGATTTGTTTAGCTGTGGACTTGTGACCTGGTTATAGCCGATGGGACTCAATTGGAGAGGCTTCTGGAAAGTAATTTGTTCTTTAATGAGAGACAGTGACCTGACCCTTCTTCTTACCTTGGATGTAGCTATTTATTTTTTATTGGGACAAAGTCTCACTCTGTCACCCAGGCTGGAGTGCAATGGCATGATCTCGGCTCACTGCAACCTCCACTTCCCAAGTTCAGGTGATTCTCCTGCCTCAGCCTCCCGAGTCGCTGGGGTTACAGGTATGTGCCACCACGCCCAGCTAATTTTCATATTTCTAATAGAGACAGGGTTTCACCATGTTGTCCAGTCTGGTCTTGAACTCCTCACCTGGTGATCCACCTGCCTTGGCCTCCCAAAGTGCTGGGACTGCAGGTGTGAGCCACCGTGTCTTATTTAAAGAAAGATGGCTGGTGCTGAGGGTGACACCTCGGAAACACCAGGAAACAAGCCATTCACTGTGACAATGCGTGAACAAAAGAGGATGGGCTTGAGTCCTGTGACACTGGCAATTCACTGCAGCAATCCCGGAAGCAGCGGACTGTGGGCTTCTTACCCTGGGAGCTGCTGAAGCATCTTGAATGCTGAAGCCTAGGCCAGCGAAGGGTTTTCCTGCTCGCTGAAGCTGAATGTGCCTCCCCTGCCTCTGTGGTCTGGTCCTCCGCATCTGCTATAACACTCGGGGAACGGATCACGGTCTAAGAATCACCGTGCTGTAACACTGCGTTTTGATCAGTTTTAAATTGTTCTTATTGTTTTTATTTTATTTTATTTCATTTTTTGAGACAGAGTTTCACTCTTGTCCCCCAGGTTGGAGTGCAGTGGTGCAATCGCGGCTCACTGCAACCTCTGCCTCCTGGATTCAAGCTTCTCCTGCCTCAGCCTCCCGAGTAGCTGGGATTACAGGTGTCCACCACGGCAGCTGGCCTAAAATTGTTCTTACTGTTATTTTAATAGTTTTCCCTTCATGCCTGTAATCCTAGCACTTTGGGAAGCCTAGGTGGGCGGATCACGAGGTCAGGAGTTCGAGACCAGCCTGACCAACATGGTGAAACCCCGTCTCTACTAAAAATACAAAAATTAGCTGGGCGTGGTAGTGTGCACCTGTAATCCCAGCTACTCAGGAGGCTGAGTCAGGAGAATCACTTGAACCTGGGAGGAGAAGGTTGCAGTGAGCCGAGATTGTGTCACTGTACTCCAGCCTGGGTGTCAGAGAGAGATTCTGTCTCAAAAAAAAAAAAAAAGTTTTCCCTCAGTAGAATACAGAGCCCTCAATCAAACAGCAAGAAAATCTGCCCAGGGCTCTACAGAGGCTTCCATTTATTATCACCGAAAACAAATAATACATGCTCGTTACAAACATTCACATCATACAAAAATGAATAAATAAACCTGGAAGCAAATGCAGCTGTAATTGCCTTCTAGATCTTTTCCCCTAGTTATGCAGAGTAACCTGAGATCACATATATTAAAAACGAAGGTCCCCTGAGGATTCACCGAGTGCCATGTACGCTCTGTTCCAACGACCTCGTGTGTGTTAGTTAACGGCATTCTTACAAGGTACCGTTCAGGTAAGCACAGTCCTGGAAACTGGAGAACAGAGAGAAGCCTCGCTATTGCTCAGTGGCACAGACCAGGAGCCCACACAGCTCAGACCCACAGGCCCCAGACTCCAGTGCCTCCCGGCAGTGCTTAGTAAACGTGTTCAGGCCGGGCGCGGTGGCTCAAGCCTGTAATCCCAGCACTTTGGGAGGCCGAGGCGGGTGGATCACGAGGTCAGCAGATCGAGACCATCTTGGTCAACATGGTGAAACCCCATCTCTACTAAAATTACAAAAAATTAGCTGAGCACTGTGGTGCGTGCCTGTAATCCCAGCTGCTCGGGAGGCTGAGGCAGGAGAATTGCCTGAACCCAGGAGGCGGAGATGGCGGTGAGCCGAGATCGCGCCATTGCACTCCAGCCTGTGTAACAAGAGCGAAACTCCGTCTCAAAAAAAAAAAAAAAAAAAAAAAAAAAAACCTGTTCAATCAACAAATGTTTCTCATTGTTCAGAAGTTTGATAGTTTCATAATCAAAACTGACAGTATTTTTTTTTCTGTGTAGTTTCTGGCCCTGGCGCCACGCTAAGTGAGGCGATTTAACTTCTCAAACAGATTAACTGCTCAGGTTATTTGTTTTAACTTTCAAGTTTCCAAAACACATTTCTTCACAGCAACCTGGTCATAATTTCCTAAAACTTTCTCCATGATGTAGCTGAGTGTTATTATACACATCAGAAAGACTGAATGAAACTGTTAATCAATATAAGCGGAATGATTTTATCACACAAAGCAGGACTCTGACCTAATAGTCCACATAAAACCATTAGGAAGAAAGGCTGACTGTTGGCTGCATCTACTCTCACTTCCTGACCCTGCTTGAGTCAGACTATGTCAGCTGCGGCTCGGGTTCTGAGGATGACAAGCTGCTGGTAATTAACGGAGGAGCCTGGCAGCACGTATGAGAGACTGTTGATGGATGAACAGTGGGAACAAAAGACTGGACACCTTGCTAAGAACGGCTTACCATGTTTGCAGGTACAGGTCATTTTCAAAAGGAAGGCCCTCCCAACAAAAGGATCCACCATTCATTCAGCGTGCCTTCTTCGTGAGGCTGGCCAGTCAGAATGCTACGTCCAGGACCCTAACCAACGATGACATTTCTTCCCCAGCACCACCATCTTCTTTTTATGATTCTTGTCATTCTCCCTATAAATTTAAAACTGTTATGATTACCATTTTAGCTTGTAGGCAGCTTTTTAGAGTGAATTTATCCACTAAAGACTTTCATAGAGCTACAAGCAAGATACTATGGTCCTGAAGTACCCCCAGATTAATTAACACCCCAATCACGGTGTCTCCTAACGGACTGCCATAACAAAGTGCCAGGAGCTGGGCAGATTTAAAACGACAATTTCTTTTCTCACAGTTCTGGGAACAGGAGGTTCTAACTGAGGTGTCTGGGGGACCTGAAGGGGAGGAGTCACCCTGCCTCTTCCTAGCATCTGGTAGTGGCCGTCAGCCTGTACCCTTTGGCTTGCGGCTGCTTCACTGCAGTCTCTGCCTCTGTCATCCCATGCTGCTCCCCTTGTGCCTGTGCTCACATCTCCCTCTTCTTAAGAGTACACACCGGGCACGGTGGCTCACCCCTGTAATCCCAGCACATTGGGAGGCTGAGGTGGGTGGATCACCTCAGGTCCAGGAGTTCGAGACCAGCCTGACCAACGTGGAGACACCCTGTCTCTACTAAAAATACAAATTTAGCTGGGCGTGGTGGTGTATGCCTATAATCCCAGCTACCTGGGGGGCTAAGGCAGGAGAATTGCTTGAAGCCAGGAGGCGGAGGTTGCAGTGAGCTGAGATCGTGCCTCCAGCCTGGGCAACAAGAGTAAAATTCTGTCTCAAAAAAAAAAAAAAAAAAAAAGAGTATATCCATTGTACTGGACAAGGGTTCATCCTAGTGACCTCAGCTTAACTTGATTCCACCTGGAAAACCCCTATTTCCAAATAAGGACACATTCACATGAACTGGGGGGGGACCTCAACATATCTTGTGGAGGGACACAACTCAAATGTACCCACAGCTGGGACACAAGCAGACACACCTTACAGACAGAATGCCTTCAAGGCGGGGATCTGGAAGGGTGTACAGCTGTTCTCTAGCTTTATTAACCGCATCTATCTGCATACTTAAAAAAAACAGTATGCCCACAGAAGGGAAGTGGCGAGAAGGGAAATATGGAAAGATCTAAAATCAGAGAGCCCAAGACTGCTGCATGAATGTGCCGCTGCTCAGGGAGGGCTGCTCCTGAAGGGGGAGGGTGCTCGGCTCTAGCGGTTCACGTCCCCTGTGTGTGAAGCATGTGATACCTTCCGTTTGCTTTGATCCCACACTCACGTAGCAATCATTGGGATTAATTTGGTCCTAACAGGAATTCCTCTTACGGGGAAAGAGAAGATGATGCAACATTACATCAGCGCTTTATGAGTCAGGTGAATGGGCTCCACACTGAGAGAGGCTGGTCAGCTGTGAAGGTGCTGGGCCATCAGATTTCCGAGTCTGAAAGATCAGGAATCCTGAGTTCTGGCAGCAAAGTGCTACCCTCTAAGGATGCAGGTGAGCTGAATCAGGCTTTGTGCCACAATGGCCCTGCCTTGCTGTTACTTCAAGTTACATATGTTCAGATTCAATCAAGTGACTAGCAGCATACTCACTGAAAGCAAATACTCTAGAAATGATGACTATTTGCATTGAAAGTGACCTGATATATTAAGGGTTTAATTACCCCATGAGTCAGAATGAGATCTTTATAAACAACCAAACCTGAAGGAGTGCTGTATGAAAACAGGCCAGCGTCGGGGTGGACCGTGCAGACTTCTGAGGCTACCTGGCAAGCTGCTGCCCAAGAGGAACAAGAGAGCAGGAGAAACGTTCACGGTTCAACACCAGCCTGTTCCTGGTCTTTGTGTTGTGAAGGAGTTGGCCCTGCTTCCCTGGCTTGCCCCCAGCCCTCTCCCTCTTATCATGGCTGCTCCCGGAGATGTCTGTTCTTAATTTCCTCTCTCTCTCATTTTGACTGTTCACTGCATGCTGGCGCTTCACACGCCGACTACTGTGTGCTCTTGTCTATCTGAACATCCAAGGCCCTTTAAAATCTGACCCTAGGCAGCCATGTCTCTTCATCCCTTAGGCACACCCATGCTCTGCTGTCCCCAAGCGAATGTTGACTATGCAGGCTACCATCACCCGTGCTTGTTTTCTAGGGCGCTCACTCATCAGACACTCAGCATGTGACATGGATTATTCCATGCTCTGGGAAGAGAACAGCTCTTTGTTTGCATGCCTGTGCTTAATTGCGGTCTGGAAGCAGACGAATACTCAGTACATGTTTGTTGGTGGCAGTCAGATGCAGAAAAGGAATCGTGTCAGGGTATCATAAGCAGAAGACTGGTGAACTGGCTCCAGTAACGGAGAACTTAGCATTACCATGGAAGTCTACCGTGGCTCACACTCCAGTTCGATAACTTAGAAAAGTTCCAAGTAGGTAAGCATGAATGTCAGCTTATTCACTGCCAGACTTAATTCATCTCTTTTCCCTACCCCAGATCAGGAAATGTATCTCCTGAGATCAAAGCAGAAACCCTCCCCTGAATATTAATGGACAAACTGTCCATCTCATTCTTATTTTTTTGACACAGTGTCTCACTCTATTACCCAGGCCGGAATGCAGTGGTGCCATCATGGCTTAAGGCACAAGCCATCACCTCAACCTGGGACTACAGGTATGTGCCACCATGCCTCGCTAATTTTTTAAAAATTTTTATTTTTGTATTGATGGGGTCTCCCTATGTTGTTCCCCAGGCTGGCCTGCAACTCCTGGGCTCAGGGGATCCTCCCAACTCCGCGTCAGAACGTGGTGGGATTACAGGCAGGAGCCACCGCGCCTGGCTGCAGGATCTGATTTTTTAAGCTTGCTCCACACTGACCCCACACCCCTGCAGATGCTCACTCACACGCTCTACGTTTCACCTATATTTTTCAGATTAAGCGAAATACAATTTATTGTTCCAGTTAGTAAAAAGTTTGCCTTTCATATCTGTCTTTGCATTTGCATTCATTCCGATTATATTTTGAGTTCTCAAACATTTGCGTTAGTCTCTTGGTTCACTCCGACGGTGTTTAAACAGGCGTGCGTGGGTCTCACTAGCTCAGCTCTGAGAGCCCGTCCTGTCTGCAGGTTCGTGCCTGGCGCACCTCGCTGTCGCTCCCACCCCACCCTTAGTGACGCGCTCTGAGCAGGACCCTGGGGTGGGGGGTGGGGGGGAGTTGCTGTTTCGAGCTCTTTCGCCCAAATACACCTTCCCACCCACCTTCCCTATCATCGGACAGGTGGCCTGACCCCAGCACGCGCAGGCTTGTCGGGCTGGTCAGTTCCAGGCCGTTTCGGAGCCAGGACTCGCCTTCCCGGCCCCGGGCCTGAGCTCGGCGGGTGGGATCTGCGAGGCTCCCCGCACGGGGAAAATGGGCGAGGGTTCCTTTAAGGCGGAAGCGGGCGGGGAGCCGGGCGTCCCCGCGGGCATAGCCCGAGCCGCACCGGGGCCCAGTTAGTCGGGAGCGCGGAAAGGGGCGCGCGGAACCGGGCAACGGCGGCGTCTGGCGCGCGGGGCGAGGCGGGGCTGCTCCCTGCGCCCGGGGCGCTCCGCGGGCGGACCCGGGCCGGGGAGGGGCGACCCCAGCGGCGCGGGGCTGAGCGCCCGGGAGGTTCCTCGGGGCGGAGAGGGCGTCGGGGCCTCCGGGGCTCCGGGTGCGGGGACGCCGGGCTCCTCGCCCCCGCGCGGGCCGCCTCGGCCGGATCCCGCGCTCTGCGCTCTCGCGCGGCGCGTCCACGGTGGAGGGTGAAGGCCGCGGTGCTGGACCTCGGGCCTCTCTCGGCCAAACTCTTCAGGACCTCGACGGCGCCCCCCGCGGGCCCCTCCTCCAGCCGCTCGGGAGCTGCTGCCGTCGCAGGGTCCGGGGGCTCCGGGGCGGGCACCCCGCTGGGCGCCGCCGCCACCCCGACCCCGCTCCCCGCCCTGGCTCCGGACCCCACCTCCTACCCCGGGGGCTCCGCCGCCGGCCGCGCCGCAGGAGCAGTGGGGACCCCGCCCTCGTGGCCCAGCAGCCCGGGAGCGGCCAAAACCCCGCCCCAGCTCCTCACGCCCCCGGGCGGCGGCTGCAGCGCCGCTGGCTCCCCGGCCCGCCTGGTGGTTCCCGCGCGGCCGCCCCCGGGCCCCGGCGAGGTCTGGGCCGCGCTGCCGTCCCTCGTGCGCGCCGCGAGCCCTCGAAACCCGCCCCCGCCTGGCCCGGGAGAGCGAGAGCGGGACGCCTGCGTGCCCCCCGGGGCTGGCCCCGGAACGCTGCTGTCCACCCTGCCCGACGTCGGCGAGGAGGGGCCCTCCGGCAGCGACTCCGAGGGTGGCGAAGCGTGAGTAGCAGTGCGGTCCGGGAGCGAGGTCCTTTTCCTGCCACCCCCGACCCCTCCGCCTGCCGCCCTCACCTTCCCTGGTGCATTTTAAGAGATAAAATACCGGCAATAACTTCCACCACCCCCTGGGCACCCTCCTTGCCCTTTTCCTGGGTCGGTCCTTGGCTTTGCGGGCTTTCGGGTACGAGCAGGGACCTGCTTTGCGCGTTTTCTCAGAGTGAATCCTAAGGGGCCTTGAAGGAAAAGACAGTGTTGTTTCCCTTCTGCCAGCATTGCTACTTCGAGCGTTCGTTAGTTTGGTTTTCTTAAGGACTTTGGAAGTCCTTTTCTTTGTCTCAGAATATAGCAGGCGTGCGGGGAACCGAACACACCTCTGCAGCAGCTGTTCTAAGAAATGGTGACACCTTGTGCTTTCCTGGTTTCTAAGGAGCAGCCCCTAGTCTTACCATGTGGGATGGGTCTCCTTTGTGTGACATCTAGTTAGTTTACAACGAGTAACATCATCTGACACAAATGGAATTGTAATGCCCAGAACGCGTCTGATTATTTCCCTGGAGCTCCTGAGAGCTGCCGCAGTACCCTGAGTTACTACAGAAACTTCACTTCATGGGAACATTTTCACTGGGAATTGGAGGCCGCTTCCCTCAACCCCTCCCCTCCCTTCACTTCCGATAGTACTGATAAAAACGCTGGTCTTTCAAAATGTGTTTTAGAACTAAGATGAATTGGCCGGGCGCGGTGGCTCACGCCTGTAATCCCAATACTTTGGGAGGCCGAGGCGGGTGGATCATGAGGTCCAGAGATCGAGACCACCCTGGTCAACAAGGTGAGACCCCGTCTCTACTAAAAATACAAAAAATTAGCTGGGCATGGTGGCGCGTGCCTGTAATCCCAGCTACTCAGGAGGCTGAGGCAGGAGAATTGCCTGAACCCAGGAGGCGGAGGTTGCGGTGAGCCGAGATCGCGCCATTGCACTCCAGCCTGGGTAACAAGTGGGAAACTCCGTATAAAAAAAAAAAAAAAAAAAAAGAACTAAGATGAATTTTAATTTTTGATGAACAGAGCATATTGTTAGCTATTCTTCAGTGGATAAATTTTCATCCTGAATGCTGCAAAGGAATACTGAATTGGTCAAAGGCAGAGGCGCCCATTCACAGACCCAGGTTTCTACATTGTCATCTAGTGAGGCCATTCCCTACTCCCCCTAAAAAATCCTGACTGATTTTTGAATTCATACGGATCCTGACTCATTCACAATTTAAATGATTACAGTTTCACAATTGCATGCTATTCATGTCAACATGAAAATAAGCAAAAGTTGTTCCCACTCATTAACAAAGACTACATAATGAAATATATTTATCAACTGATATTTTTCTTTAAGGAAGATTAATTGCTTTTGGAAAACTGACTGGAATACCTATGCCTGAGGAATTAGACCTTTGTTCTTGGCAGCTGGTCCTTAACATTTACGCAATTAATGTTTTATGAGCAAACAGATCTACACACTGACCTTAAACTCTAGTCTTAGTGCTTTTAACAAATAGGCACTGAAATATGCAGCATGGCCAGTGAAAGAATTGGTGTTAGTTTCAATTCTTGAACATCTTAGCTCGTGTTTATATTGTGCAAAAATTTGCAAGAGACACTTTTTCAATAACACTGCATTTGGCATTATTTACAGAAGAGATTACCCTGAATTAACAGATGCATTCAATTTTATAGACAGTGAAGAAATGGAAATTTTAACATTGCTATTATTATTTTTTGAGGTGAGGTCTCCCTCTGTCACCCAGGCTGGAGTGCAGTGGTGTGATCAGTGTTCACTGCAGCCTCAACCTCCCAGGCTCAAGCATTCCGATTCTCTCGTCTCAGACTCTTGAGTATCTGAGACTACAGGTGTGAGCTACCATGCCTGGCCAATTAAATTTTTTGTGTGTGATGACGGAGTCTCCCTGTGTTGCTCAGGCTGGCCTTGAACTCCTGGCCTCCAGCAGTCTTCCCACCAAAGCGTTGCTGGAATTACAGGCAAGAGCCACTGCATCTGGTCATGAAATTGGATTTTAGGTAAGTGCCATGAGAAGTAACATACACAGCTAGGTGCTTTGCAGAATCTTTCTGAGTCTGTGTGCTCCTACTGTCTGCAGCAGCAGGTGAAGGAAGGCACACACGAGCGGGAAGCACACTGGCCCTCTGCGCATGCCATTTTTCCTTTCCTTTCGGATCTGTGACTGCTCACATTCCCTTCCTCTCATCATACCCCACTCCTTTTTCAGTCACTAAAACATAAAAAAAGATGAAGGGGAAGGAAGAAAGGACTCAGGTTACTTTTCCTTCAATACGACAGACTTTGCACCTTGAAGGATTGTTTTCCTCTCATGGATTTCTGCGGTGGGGATTTATAAACGGAATAGACACATAAGACAACGAATTTAAGTTTGCTCCCATCTCATCTGTCCCTTGGCAGACAGCTGCTGCTGTTACCTGTGTGGTTCATATTAAAATCAGGGATTTAAACTTCAAGTCTGGGAACATGGAGAAATGGGTAATGTCGAGGAAAAAACGTGATGAGAGAGCGTGTGAGTACCTGCAAAGGAAACGTAAACCTGTCCACAAGAAATGCAGATCAATTTTAAGGCTGTGGCACTGAGTTATAGAGGAAAACCCTATTAACAGTTTATGCTTTTTTGATAACATACACTTTACATTTGCCTGATTCTTTTTTTTTTTTTTTGAGACGGAGTTTCACTCTTGTTACCCAGGCTGGAGTGCAATGACGTGATCTCGGCTCACCGCAACCTCCGCCCCCTGGGTTCAGGCAATTCTCCTGCCTCAGCCTCCTGAGTAGCTGGGATTACAGGCACGCGCCACCATGCCCAGCTAATTTTTTGTATTTTTAGTAGAGACGGGGTCTCACCATGTTGACCAGGATGGTCCCTATCTCTTGACGTCGTGATCCGCCCGCCTCGGCCTCCCAAAGTGCTGGGATTACAGGCGTGAGCCACCGCGCCCAGCCCCCTGATTCTTTACTTGGCTTTTAAAAAAATAAATAAATAAATAAAATTAGTGAAATTAACTTGAATAGAAAAATATGCCAAATATCCTGCCATTTAGAGGGGTTTTTTGTAAACGAAGATGCCGAGTAGCAGCAGGGTTTTTTGATCTCTGACCCAGGAATTCCGTAAGTGAAAGGCCGGTGGAAAGGAAACTGCCCTTTTTGCTCCTCAGGACATACTGGCTGCACATCTGAGCCAGACGCAGAGGATACAGCTCTTTCTTCCCCTCACTTCCTGCATCCCTGGCTGTGAGATCAGCACTTTTGACCCTCACCTTGGCTTCGCTGTGCATTTCACGTCTATATTAGGCCTCAGTGTTTTCCAGTCTCCCTCATCCCTCTTCACCACCTCTTTGCACACTTCCGGTTTGAGACATTGCACCTTGAGAAGGTCTTACTCTCTTACCTGTTCTGCAGACTTAAGGATTCCTAGCAGTACGTAAGGTGGACAGACAGATAGTTGCTGTGTATCAATGTTGGTAGATTGTAAACGTTCTCTGGTGGACAGACAGATAGTTGCTGTGTATCAATGTTGGTAGATTGTAAACGTCCTCTAGTCAGGAAGTATTTACCGCTTGTATAGTCATAGCTATTAGCATATACTCCTTTTCTTTTACCGCTTGTATAGTCATAGCTATTAGCATATACTCCTTTTCTTTAATTTTGAGGGATTGAGTTCCACTGTTGAAATCACGTTAGTGTGGAAACGTGGCAGTGGCTGCTGGAAGGGCTTGTCAGCATGGCTGGCAGTGAAGCGATTGGAGGGACTCATCTTGATTCCTCTGACATTGAGGCAGCCTCACGTATGGTGAAGCCTGTAGACCCGGAAGTCAGAGGAGGTGGATTCCACCTCAAACTAGTGGAGCAATTCTGGGCAGGTTATTCATCTTTCCCTAGCTGTAGTTTTTCTTTCTTAATAATATGGAGGTGATAATAATACTTTCCACATAGAGGTGCTCTAGAAACTAATTAAAATAATGTATGAAAATAATTAAAATAAGTAACATGGAGAAATGCTTAAAAAAAAAAGTGTGTTATCTGCTGGGTGTGGTGGCTTACGTCTATAATCCCAGCACCTTGGGAAGCGGGCAGATCACCTGAGGTCGGCAGTTCTCGACCAGCCTGACCAGCAAAGAGAAACCCTGTCTCTACTAAAAACATGAAAATTAGCCAGCATGGTGGCAGGTGCCTGTAGTCCCAGCTACTCAGGAGGCTGAGGCAGGAGAATTGCTTGAACCCAGGAGGCAGAGGTTGCAGTGAGCTGAGATCGCGCCACTGCACTCCAGCCTGGGCAAGAAGAGTGAGACTCCATCTCTAAGTGTTACGTGTGATTGCTATCTGCTTTTTGGCACAGAAATGAAAATTGAGAGCCATATTTTATCTAAAGAAACCTTCTCGGTGAAGAAAAGACTGAGAGAGAAAAATGATTCATTATATTTACCATGTGACTGTAATAAATGGTGTCTTTTGTTCAGTTATTTGGGAGAACAAATTAAAGTACATGCCAGTCTTTCATCATTGCCATCCCTGCCCGCCTTACAGAAGGTAAGGGGTTCGTTTAGTTAACGTTACCACTGAGTGCTATGTAACACCTAGAAGGAAATGCATTTACCACTCTGGGATCAAGCTTTTAATCTGCAGAATAATCAACTGTATCACAAATCGTACATTTGTGTAGCCCGTGTCTGTTCCGCCACTGAAATCCTTTCAGATTCACGTCTTATGTCCATTATCAGACCGTAAACTCTTTGTCCTGTGGCACGTAAGGGAACACAGACCCGTGGAAGACATTTAGCAAATATTTATTGAATGGATGAAGGAAATATTCTCTTCTTCATGTAATCCACGGTCTTGGGTTTCTGATCTTACAACAATCTAGGGGCGACTTAAGTGTCTTTCTTTAAGAATAACTGTTGTCTTGGGTCTTTATGTTTCATTGTCTTAA